GGAGGCTGAGGGGAGACCTCATCGCTCTCTACAACTACCTGAAAGGAGGTTGTGGCGAGGTGGGTGTTGGTCTCTTCTCCCAAGTAACTAGTGACAGGATGAGAGGAAATGGCCTTAAGTTGCGCCAGGGGAGGTTTAGATTGGACGTGAGGAAAAATGTCTTTACTGAAAGTGGTTAAACATTGGAACAGGCTGCCCAGGGAAGTGGTGGAGTCACCATCCCTGAAGGTATTTAAAAGACATGTAGGTGAAGCGCTTAGGGACATGGTTTAGTGGGCATGGGGGTGTTGGGTTGACGGTTGGACTCGATGATCTTAGAGGTCTTTTCCAACCTTAATGATTCTATGATTCTATGACGGTAGCCTTTCACTACAGACTGTGCATGTTCAGCAAAGGTCCGTGACCAATTCCTCCTTCTCCATATGCATGTCCTGTCCTCATTTTTCTGAAGAGACATATATATTTATATATAGATGCATGGCATATGCTGTGTATAAATACGTATGGTACTTACAGACAGATGGATAGTAGCGTGCCCGCCTGGCTCTTACACAAGTTGCTGTGCATGCGCAGAGTCAGAGACTGAAAATGTGTCTTTGAACGTAGGAATCCTTTATAAAGGAGGGTTTTCACAAACGAACCTAATAGATCAGGTGAACTGGTACGCCACATGGGCACTGGTAGGATATTTCCTCTCTCTCTGCCAGCCTTTTGTTACCGTTCGGGTTTTCTGCTGGGTCTGATGCTGGAAAATTGCTGCAGACTCGCTGAGTATCTGGTGATGGAAGGGGCTCAGGAGGCCGTCGGGTCCAAACCCTGCTCCCTCAGGGCCAGCAAGGAAATCTGGGAGACTGAAAAGACACTGAAATGTCGATGAGCAAAATGTCAATAAGGTAACCCCTTCCGTCCCTGCTCCTGCCTACCCACTGAAAAAAATTGCTTCTGAAAACCTGTTGAAAGTATCCCAGCGAAAATTAAACGGAAAAAGCATTGACCAGCTCTATTATTCCCAAATTTCTAATGTAATGAATGAGGTTTTCTGCTACATACTAACGCCCACAGCGAGGATAAAAAATAGCTGGAGTTTTTTGGATTTTTTCTCCTCTTGACAAGTATCCTGCCATCGTCCGTTACGGAAAGAAACCGTGGTCTTACCTGGACTAAAGCCAAAGGCTGGTGGTGGTGGAGCTTTGAGCCCGACACCCAAACCCGAAATCCACATAAAAACCCGGACTAAATAATAGTTGCAAACTGACTGTGGCTTTTATCTTCCCCGGGCTGCTGCGGTGCCTTTAAAATAGTAGCCCTTCACCTTGGCAATGGCAATTCTTGCTTTAATTTTTTTTTTCAGTAAGGCTCAGGCTGTTATTTCAGGAGCTGCACAAACACAAAGGTCTCATCGGTGTGGAGTCTGACAGGGGAAATGTAACAGGATTATGAGACTGAAATTTCATGCAGCTGGGTGTTACGCTTCACCGAGAAAGTAATCTCTACCGCTAAAATTGCAGCGTCTGGCAGATTGGAAAATCTTTAAGAAAAGCAAATGTAATCTGAGGGCTGGACTTTGGGGAGGGGTTTGTTTCTGAAAGAGACACAGCCATATCCCATAGCGACTGAGTGATGACTGGTAGAAAATGTTTGGCAACGAACTTGTTGGAATATATTTATTTCCCCTGGAGAAAATGCAAAATTTTGGTTAGTGGGATGTTTTCAGGGGACAACCCATCATTTTGGTTGTGAAAAAGCCATGTGTGGGCACACGTGATGCACCCCGCCTTGTGCTCAGGCTGGTAAGACATTAGTTGAGTGTGAACAGAAAGAAATACCCGTCCCAGGTGGTCAGCTACAGGGTCAGCAGAATCAACCCTGCATTTTTTTCTGTTCCCCGTGGCACCTGCCATGGGCTTTAGGTGCAGCTTTTTATTTGGCTGTCCAGGTACAGCACTGCATGGCACACAACCTCACAGCAGGAGGATTATTTACATTTTTTTACAGGAAAAACCTCAGCAAGTTACCCCCTTAAAATAGTTACCTACTTTATTCTCCTTCCAGCACCCGGCAGCAGAAAGGCCTTGGCTGGCAGGCCCTTGCCACCGTCCCAAGTCAATGCTTTTGGGTAGGAGGGTGGGGGTTAGTCATTTCTAACACACGTGAACTGACAAGTTGAAGTTCAGCCTGTCTTCAGCAGAGCTTGATCGGAACCTCTGTAGCATAACTAAAACCTATTTGAATTTTACTTTGGAGACTAGTGAAATGTTTATAAACGCCAGTAAAACTGGCTCTTTCGGATTGCTTCTCTCGGCGTATGAAAACTCACTCTGGGAGGGTTTTTTTGACAGCCTGGTATCACTTTCTTCGTTTTTTCCAGGATCATCAGCCCTATGTTGGATTTGTTTGCATTTATTGTGGATAGACTCCATCATGGTGAAGATATCCTGCGATTTTTAGTCTAAGACTTGTAGGTTTGAGTGCTGTATGATGAAATGTGTACATGTTACGTGTCTAAAATCTGATGAAATCTTAAAAAGGGCTAGAAACCTGAAACCCTGTAAATACATGTAAGTTGAGATATATTTAAAATGCTTTTAAGTATATAATGTCAATGCTAAAGGAATGAAGTTATTAGATCAGCCTGGGACATGGGTGGCTGATGGTTGGCTAAGGAGGAATCTAAGTGGACTTTGGGATTAATGTCAAGGGGAATCCCACCCAGAGATGAGCAAAGAGAAATCGATAGAAGAACCGATCTGATGAGGTTGGCACTGTAAAGCGTATATTAGCAAGATGCAACAAAATTGGAAGGCCGCATTGAGATGCATCTGGAATTGTAATGCCGTGGGGTGGACAAGGACTTTGATTCAGAGGGTTGGTTCCCATCTTGGTTTTTTAATTCTGAACTGATGCCGCTTCGGGCATTCCCATTTTCAAGGTTTGCGCCTTCAGATCACGAGAGTTAACTTTACGCTTGCCGTCGATTCCGTAATAGACATATTTTAAGTACGTTTTCCATTTCCTTTCCCACTCCCTACGTATAGGTATGGTGAAACCATACACCAGAGTCGGAGTCCCAACCTGTTGGCCGTTTCTTGGTGGAAAGAGCAAGTCGTGATGCAAAGTTCTCTCGCCAGCCTTGACCGGGAATATACGGGACCCTCCAGGCGTTAGTGAGACACTTGGGGCATAGCCTTTGCTGGTTGCTTGAGCCTCTTTAGGGGGGTAAAAAATGTTCTCAAAAGCTTTGCCCAGCCAGTTTTTTTTGCGGGACTGTGCTGGATTTGGGCTGGCAATGGAGAAGAGGTTCTCGTGTCTCAAAAAAAAAGTATTAGGGATTACAGCTACTGCAGTCAAGAGGTTCGGCATCGCTTTGGCTGCCTTGGTGCTGGGTGGGTTTTGCACGAACTGGGTTGCTGAAAGCTGTGCTGGGCTGCTTGATGATTTGCCCGAGAAAGCAGGCGAAGGCCGTGCCTAGTGGTTTAAGGGGAGGAAAAGAGCTACGCAGTCAAGAAGAATTGTTTTTACTGAGAGTGAATTCAACTGCGTTGCCGAAATTAGAGCAAAGCGTTTGTTAACTAACGTCTGCCCTTCAGCTCACTGCGCTGTAATGCAGAAAATCGGTAATTCAGCAATGAGCTAGAGAAGCGCTGCAAGGCTGGGTGCCCCGGGGGTTACCCTGATCCCGACCCTGAGCGGGGACTGGTGTTTCCAGAGGCACCTGTTGAAATGGGATAGCAAAAAGTCTCTCCCCTCAAGGCCTGTTTGTAAGCCAAAGGTGCCCCAAACGCCGAACTGCCAGAGAGAAACTTATTTTAGGGCTAAGGGGAAGTTCAGGAGCTGTAAGTCAATGTACTGTGGTTAACTGTGCTGCTGTAAATTGCATTTATTCAACTTAAAGACGTGGGAATTGGGGCTGTGCAGAAACACTGTGGGCTGCCTCCAGTTTTACACTACCCAGAAATAACTTTGTCTGAAACCTTTCATTAGCTACGTGAAGTTGTTTACATCCAAGTAATCGTTGCTTTGAGGAGTGGAAATTAGAAATAACTGCGTGAAAACCTCCAGAACACGCTGGGACTAAATTAGTGTGACAGCACAATAACGGGAAAAGTAAAGCTTTCCCAGAGCGGGCGAGGGAAAGGAGGGTCCGGGGGTCACAAACTAAACAGGAACCTCCTCAGACTTATTTTATTAAATGCCCAGTATAAAAAAATTTGTAACAAATAACCATGGGAGCTCAACAGGAGGAAACCACGGGGAAGATTCATTAGCCACAGGGGGAGTTAGAACAAAATGCTCTAAATACAGCTCAGGTTTTTTTTTGCTAATAGGGCATCAGAGAAAGGAAAAGGGGACAGGGAAGCAGAGAGCAGCGTCCCAGTGCAGGGGTGGCACCGCACCGAAGAGCAGGGCTGGTGGCAGCAATCGTACATTGTTACCAGACACCTCACACATCATCTGAATATTTAAAACATTTATTTATACAAATGTACAGCATTTACAAGAGTTAAAAAATTAGACATTTAAAAGCAATATCACATCTATAGAGCCTAAAAATAAATACGGTACCGCTCAGCATTTATGTGCTTTAAAAAACCCCCAACAGCTCCGCAGGCAGACCGGGCACACCGACCTGCCGGTACAGGGAGGATCCTGGGCGGGTTCCCGCTCGGTCTCAAGTCACCTTAATTTGCTCTTTTAAGCTCAACGTCCATAATCCTCGTACCACAGCCGGAGGTAGCAGCTCAGCTGGACGGTGCTCAGGTCCCTTTTGCAGAGCGCAACTTGTGGCCCGCCGGCGGGGGAGAGGGACCAGCACAGCACAAGAACCGGGACTTTCCCCAGCTGCAGCAACGTCGCGGTCAGAGCAAAGCTGGTGATGTGCTTAGGAGTGGCTCCTGCTCAGGTTGTTTGCGAAGCACTGGTCTTGGCACAACCGCGTGGCTGGCAGCTGGATACCCTACGCGGGATGCAGTATGTATTTCTAAACTGCTTTTCCTAGGCATGTCCATCACGTGCCTGAGCTGAGACGATTTAACCATCCACCTTGGCTTACAATGAATCAGCCCCTGCAACACCACTTTTTCCTCCACTGACTACAAAGGGAGTAGAAGTAACTGGCTTGCCTTAATACCGCCTCAACGCCGATAACGAAATTTGACCGGTGGCATCCCAGTCTTCGTGGGTAGAGCGCGCTACCGGGTACCCAAAAAGGTTTCTGGTCTGCCTGAGGTGCACCCAAACACAGCGTGAAGACCCTGTCTGCTAATGCACCCGACGAGCCAGCTAGCACTGGAGCCCATGTCACCTCACTGCAGGCACCGGCACCTTCCATGCGGTGGTCCTGAAAGTCCCAACATCTTATGAAGAAATCCGGCCATTCCTGCAAGCTCAGCCCACGCAGTTATACACACCTAGCTCAGAGTTACCATACCACGGGTTAGGCTGGGTGAGTTCTGTTAAATAACAATGCAACTGCAAAATATATGGAAAATGGAAGGGGGTGACATACAGAGAAGCCAGAAGACGCAGGCAGAAACCTGACTGTAAGCTATTGACCAAGGCAGTCAGCTCAGGTCAGGAGGTAACTTCTGCTTCTTGCTGCTGGTTAGGTGTCTTATTGACTGACTCCTAAATGCACACGTTTAGCAAGGCCCAAAATAAAAATATAAATCCTTAAAGCATCCAGCTGAGCTGCCACCACTGGCACGTGAGCCCCGAGACGGCAGGGAGCTCCTCACGAGGTGCTACTGCTGGCCACGTGCAACACGGCCCGAGCCTCGAGCCCACCTCAGTTGAACAGGTAAGCGAGACGTTCCCGAGTACTCCCAGATTCCCACGCTTCCACGTCACGCTGGCTTTCCAACGCATGTTCTCAAAGCGCGTGTCCTGGATCTGGCCCTGCACCTACACAGCAGTGCTTGCCGAAACGCTCGGCCAATGCTTAGCCCCTGCCCCAGGAGAGCCGCTGAA